GCTCGCTCGCTTCGTTCTCGTTCGATTTTCGACCCCTCGCGCTTCGTTCGCCCTGCCGCCACCGTCTCGTCGAGATCCGCACCATCCCCGAGAGACCTCCCTCTCTCTCTCTCTCTCTCTCTTTCTGGCAGCTCTTCACGAGCTGCCTGCACGCGAAAGCATTCACGCACGCACGACCGCACTCGACTAACCTGGGATGTTTATCCCAATTTGCGTCAAGTTGGAAGAAATTTTTGTTCTTGCATAAGGGTTGATTTGTTATCATAAGAAGTACCGAATGGTCATTATTAGTATTTTTATATTTATTGTATTTTTTATTTTTATTTGACATTGATTCTATTTTTTTATTCTATTATTTATTTCATTTTTATTCTATTTTTTAGATTAATATTATTATATTTCTTGTGTAAAAGAGATATAAGGATTCTGAATTTGTTTGATTTTTCAATAATTATATCCTTTATATATCCTACTGATGAAATATTTGGTTTTTTATCACTTTCTTTATCGTAGTTTTAATTTATTCGTTTGGTTCTTTTAACAAGTAAAAGACGTTGATATTTCTAATGTTAAAAACTTTCTATAATGATGATAAATTACAAATTAATAAAAACTAATAAGTTTTTATAGACTCCTTTAAGTAAAACAATTAATGAAACCATAAAAAATAAAATTTCTATAATGATAGCAGCAAGCAGAAAAATTCAAATGGCGTCAAAATGATGTCAAGATGATTATTAAAATTCACTTTTCGATCATGTCGCGATTCATTTTAATGTATTGTAACCTGTTGTTCTGCTTGGAATAATACACTCCTTGTATTTGGTATTCGGTAACTAGTTACAAAATTTGATTCATTACATTAATTTAATTTCCTGTTATTTCGCAATGTCTGCTTTACAGAGTCAAGTGTTAAAGTTTTTGCAACATTTCTTCTCATAAAGAAACACAGAGAGGTGTTCTCTTCAGATTTTGATGAGTTTTTAATATGTCATAGTCTAAATCTAAATGAAGGACGTATTTTTTTTTTGCGTCCATTTTTAGGTGAAACATCCCTTTAAACAAAATCAATTATTTTCTTTAAAAATTATCAAAGATAAAAAATTTTTTTAATTGAACAAGCTTAAAAGTCTTTATAGTAATATTAAAAAATTAAAGAAAAATTATTTAATTAGCATTAAAAAATTGTTTTATTGTTATAAAGTACTCTTGAAGTTATTTAATTTTTATAAAAAATCCTTCCTTTTCTCACAAGGAAGGAGTGGGAAGGTTTGTCAAACAAATAAATGAAAATAAAGATTATGAAAGATTTTAATGTACGAGACGTTCGCCATTGGAAGAATTGTTTTTTACCGCGGATCCCCTGGTAAGTCCCAACTCAAGCCTCGGACACTCCGAATCCGGATCAGGAATTCTTTCATGCGCGATTAATCCCGAATATTTTTCAGGCTTCCCCGTCTAAGAGCTACCTTCAGAAGCGACGATGCGTGGTCTCCGATAACGATTTTACGAACCGCACGTGCCCGAGGACATACGACCGTGGCATCGTCGTAAGCATCGTATCACGCGTTTGGATCTCGTTTCCCATCGTTCGACCGCGGACGTGCGATGTCACGGACGGATATCGGGATATCGTGACGAATCACCAGCATTCGCCGGGGAAATTTCTCACCCCCGACTGACCCCCGATATGAATGACCCCTGAACTGGCTATCACGGTTTTGCGGGTGCTAAGTAGGCACGCATAAAGGTGATAATTCCGCTGCCACGTGCGTCGTAATTTCAAGTAAAATTTTATACGTAAATCGTTATTTTGTTATATCACTATGCATGATATATTAAAAATTACATATAAATGCAAACGTATATACAGAAAGAACGACACTTTGCTAAATTAAAAATTTAGCTACAGTGAACAAATTTACTAAATTTTAATAAATATTTATTTTAATAGCACTAACTAAACATTTGCTTAAAGTAAATAAGTATTTCCACAATAAAAAAAATAATACTTAAATTAATGATTCTTGTACCAAATAAATATCTTTACATTTAGTAAATATTTAATTAGCACTATTAAAGCAAAAATTTAGTAAATTTTTTTCAATGTATAGATACAGATATGAAAAGAATTTTGTAAGATAATCGAAATAATTATATAGAACGATTAATATTGATGATAACATTATAAAAAGTTTTAACATTCTAGTGACCCGTTTGCGCTACATAATCATTTTGACCCAACAAAATTATTTTAGATCCATATCTAGCTAAATTTTATACGCTTCGGTAAAACCGTTCTTTCCATAATACTGATGCAAATAGAACAATATAAAATACTCCAAGCAGAACACAAACCACCATGACATCAAAATGGTTCCACAAAATGATTCCACTAAAAGCTAATCAATTACGATTAATTTTAACATCATTTCGATGTTATCGTGACTTGTTCTGCTTGGGACGCTTTATAGGGGCAATTTGGCGTCTGATATCAGAATTACTATCGCAGTCACGTCGGATCACTGGAAGCCAATTGGGGAACACCTCAGCGTAATTCACGGGACGGATATGTAACAGGTTCAATCGACAACGACATGCTACTGATGCTACACAACATGCGTCCGCGACATCGGACACCTGCGTATAACTCCCGCATGTGTCCGCGAGAATTTTCACACTCGTGTTCTATTTTTTTCTTTAGAGAATATCGAAACTCTGATTGAAATTCATTTTCATCGTACACGATCAATTTTATAACAGTAATATAATCCGAATGATTAATTGTAAACAGCACCTCAGAAGACTTATTAACAAAATAATTTTACCGAATAATATGTAATCTTTAGTAATCAGAAAGAATGTCTACCGCGATATCGAAACAGATTTATCAGCGTTTTAATATTCTATAATAATGAGGTCTCGATATCTAGCAATAAAAATAATTAGTTCACTGGAAATTATATTTTTACTTAAAAATAGTTCATTCCTTCAGAGGCAGACAGTATTAAATTGATTTGTTAACAACTTTTTACAATAATAACAATAAGCAATACTCTCCTTGTATCTAGTATCTAGCAACAAGTTACAAAATTTGATTTATCATTGATTTAACTTCCTGTTATATATATTCAGAAAACAACGTTTGCTTTTACAGAGTTAAACGGTTTTTCCAACATTATTCCATCGGATCGGGGGTATGTGGACACGCCATATGTTGTACTTCACGTACATGTATATGGGTATGCGGCGAACCAGGGTTTCTCAGTGTCCCCAGAGAGTGATCGAGTGGATTGCCTTGACGCGCGCGCAACTCTCCACGCCTGAAAGTCACCTCCAAACTTCCCTCCACTGATTTTCCATCTCTCTCTCTCTCTCTCTCTCTCTCTCTCTCTCTCTCTCTCTCTCTCTCTCTCTCTCTAACAGTTGGTTCTTCTTTGTCTCTTCATCACATCTCCCTCACTCTCTCTTTTTCTCACTCCCAACCTTTATCTCTCCCGACAACAAGGAACAAACGCTCTCTTGGACAAGAAGATAAGTGATCGTCGAAATTGCTCGGCTTGGCAAGAAGCTACTACGTGGTCTCAAAAAGAAGTGTTCACGTTCAACATTGTCATGTCGGCATACTTTCAGTTACCTGAAAGAGTGCAGAATACTATAGGAATCCAACGGTATCTATAAATATCCAATGATATTTATCTGATTTTCTGGATACGTTGTTTAATTACTATTAACAATGATAGTATATCAATAATCGTAATAATGATGTAGAATTATTATTTACACAAATGAATCATTAAAAAGTAAACTATATTATTCACACGAATTATTAAAAATTGTTAAACTATAAAATCTAAATTAAAATCAACAGCAAGGAAACTTCCTTTTTCTTCCAAACAGACTTTATTTTGGCAGATTTTGATATTGTCATAAAATATTAAATAATCCTATTAAAATCACAGAGAGAGAGAGAGAGAGAGAGAGAGAGAGAGAGAGAATGGATATATGACTAATTCTTTCATTTCATAAAATAAATCTAAGAAAATAAAAGTTCCAAATCTGTAAAATGAAACCTGCAAATAATAGCAAATTTAAACATTTATTATAATGATTATGAGATGAGGAAATTTTTATTTTATATCGCATACCATACATAATACATACACAAGTACACGATGCATATGATCGAGATTGAAAACGAATATTAATTTCAAAACCTTATCACTTTTTACCATTGAAGTTTACATCGCCGCTAATAATTTATATATTTGTAGAAAAATTTTTAGAATGAATACGTTAGATCTATAAAACAATATATTCTTAAAACTTTTATATTTGAAAACGATGTAAGCGTGTTTATCATTGTAGAATATATGGAATTTTCATTATAGCTTATAGTTTTCATCAATTATGCCTCTTTGAGACCGTCTCATATAAAAACAGAAATAGATCTAATAGAAGTACAGTATACATATATGGAGCAATATTTCATTAATTCTACATCAAACTTATACTCTGTTGCAATTAGCAAAATTATATAGTAAACCCTCGATTTTACGAACTTTTAAAAGCGATTCCAATGATTAATATCAAAATAAATTAAAGAGTAAAGATCTAATCTCTTTCAATAATTAATATAATATCTACAACGCGATAACAGACAGCCTAAAATTTCAAAAAATAAAGTAGACTTCTTAGTAAAAGAATGCTTTATCTATTAATCTAATGATTTACTTATCTATTCACAAAGGTTTCGTCAGGTACGAGTGTGTCTCAAATCTCGAAACTGCTTGTTGTACGACGTTAACCTTAATGTTTTTTCACTTAATCAATTCATTAAATCGAAGATCTACCGTATCATAATATATATTAGAATCATGTTATATATACAAGTGACCCATATAGCACAGAATTTGCAGCAATATTACTGCGAAATCTCTGCAATATTGTTGCAATATACAATATTGCTGCAACTTTTGTACAACTTTGTGATGTACGGATTATGTCGCATTTAAATAAATAGGTGTGTTAATCGCTCAGACAAATACCTATGTTTATCAATTTCAAAATTATGAAATGTAAATGATACTATGTTGCATCGTGGGCTTAAGTATTCGAATAATTCGATGCAGTATTTACTAAAAACAGACGAATATCATACCATCGAATTCCATGTACAGTTGGATACATTGTATCATATTTTTTTAAAATATCGTTAACCTGGAAACTGGAACTGAAAAGCACTACTAGGAAAACCTCCATCTTGAAATTGGAATTGGAAGCCTCCATCTTGACCACAGAAGAAGTGGAACATTGCGTTTGGATCCATATCTGGAAAGACGAGAGAATATATGTATAATTTAATAGTAATAAAAAAACATAAAATGGATGTGATGTATTAATTAAAATTATACACACAGAAAAAGGTTGATACCAACCTTGAAAACCACCCTCGTTATCATCTAAATCATGACCACGATCATAGCGAGATCGTTTCTTGGGGTCCGAGAGAATCCCATAAGCTTCTCCAACTTCCTTAAATTTTTTTTCTTGTTCTCTTTTCTCTCCTTCACTGGCGTTAACATGACGATCTGTAAAATATAAGGTATAATAATATAAAGCCACGTTTATAATTACATTTTTCAACAAACGATATATCTATTCCTTACCTGGATGATGATCCAGAGCCCGTTTCCTATAAGCTTTCTTAATATCTTCGGTAGATGCATCTTTATCAATACCTAAAATCTTATAATAATCTTTTCTTTTAGATTTCCTCAATAGCAATTTAGCTTTTCCGAGTAATCGTTTCGTTTCTAAGAAAATTATAAAAAATATACATACACGTTAAGATATAAGCTATTATTAATATCCTATTCTATATGTTAGAATTGATAAGCAACGATTCATACCGCGATTAGTCTTATCCATTTTACACGCTTTTTCAAGATCATAAACTGCCTCTTCATATTCTTCGAGTTCCATATAAATACTCGCTCTTTTTAAAAGAGCTTTTAGGTAATTTTCGTTGAGTTTTAAAGCCTTTGTGCATTCTGCTACAGATTCATTTAACTTTCCTAACTATAAAAAACAACAAAATAAATATTTTGTGCAAATATTAATTTTTTTTTTTAAGTATAATACCTTAGCTGCAGCTGTTGCCTTATTAAAATGCAACTTAGCATTAGTCATAATGTTGTGTGGATCAATAGTTAAGGCTTCATTATAAAGATTATAAGCCTCTTGATACTGTTCTCTTTTAAATGCTGCATTTCCTTCTTCTTTCTTCTTTTTCAAACATTTTGCTCTCTGTAATAGAAAAAGAAAAGTATATGGAATTAATACAGCATATTACTGACTATATAGTTGGAAAATTAATATCAATTAGAGAAAAATTATTTTTATTTTATCTTCTTACTTTGTATATTTCCAATGCTTTATCATGATCTGGTGCAAGTCGCAGTACTTGTTGGAAATGTGTAAAAGCTCTATCAACATCGTCTTGGAAGTACAAACACATTCCACGAATATATAACGCTTCAGCGTTCTGTTTATCGATGTGTAAAGCATTACTAAGATAAAATAAAAAAATAATACAACTTTAATTAAAAAATAATAAGATTTATATAAATAATAATTATACTCTTGATTTAGCATGATAATTTACTTTGCAATATCTTGAGCTTCCTGATATCTTCCTAAAAGCGCCAGACATTCTGCTTTGATCAATTTAAAACGTGTTCCAGATGTACTTATATCACAACAACGATCCATACAATATACAACCTATGGAACACAATTCCAGTAATTATACACACACACACACACACACACACACATATATATACACAAATATAAGAATATTATATACAAATCGATTATTAATAGATGTTATCGGAAACATGTTATCAGAATAAATTCTGTTACCATACGATAATCCTTGGCATTGTAAGCAGCATCAGCATCCTTAAGGAATTTTTTTACATATGCTATGTCTTTTTGTTCTGCAGCTATTGATTCGTTATTAGAATCAAAGTCCATCAATTTCTTTAATGATGTCTCAGCTTCTAAAATGTCTCCCAAAATCAAGCAACACTTGATCATTCTTACATATGCCTAAAATGTAAACAAAAAGTAAATTTATTGATTCACTACAATATAATTAACTAGCTACAAAAAATCATCAACGTACTTTAGAAAATGTTGGTTCCAGTTCGATACATCTTTTAGCGTCTGCCAGTGCATCTCGGTATTGCCCAAGCATCATGTAACATGCTGCTCTATTACTGTAGTAATGCGATATATCAGGACACAATACTGAAAAATATTTTGAGTTCATTATAATTATTTACAAAAATTTATAATTAGTAAAATTTAAAAAAAAGATTCAATATTCTTAGGAAATTAGTTTTTCCTTATTTAACTGCCGAATGAGTCAACTAATAGTTAGATATCTCAGCTATTCAATATTTTTGAAGAGAAAAATAAAATTTTATTGAATTTGATATAAAAATTAAATACAATGAAGTGCCATTAAAATAACATGCTGATATAAAAATAGCATCAGGGACAAAATCCTGAGCTGTTCTGTTGCACACATAATACGCATGAGATATCATTTTATCCTTATTTTATACTCTGGGAACAATAAGGATGAAATGATACCTCATACGCATAAATCCGGATCTATAATAGGTGTTTTAAGCCTTAAGCCATAAGAAATCGACCAATTACAGTTGAATGTGATAAGAATAATCGAATCTGTAATTCGTCCATTTCTTATGGCTTAAGGTTTAAAAATCTATTGTAGATCCGGACTTATGTGTGCAACAGAACGTAGGCATGAAAAAAGCAGAAACAGTATATATTTACATAATACTGTTAGAACACTTACCAATAACTTCATTGTAACCAACCAATGCTTTCTTGTACTGTTTTTGTGAATAATATTGATTAGCAACTTTCTTTTTTGATTCTGCCAATCTGTAAATATTATATATAAGTAATAATATTAATAAACGTTACTCTAATAGAAGACAATAATAACAATAAATATAGCATCTTAAAAACATGTCCCTATACAGCATACAGCATTCCAGCAATATTACAGTAACACATGAATAAATGTTTTATTTATTCTATAGATTGAAGATGCGATATTTACTGTTGTCCATTTCTATCAATGTGGATTAACTTTAATCTTGATTTAACTTGCTTTTTATTTTCTTCTAGTTTTAAGAATTAGAAAAAGATGAAGAGTAAATTACTTCGAAATTAAAGTTAATCTACATTGACAGAAATACGCCTGTAAGTACTGAAAATCTATAAAAATATATGTAACATGAAAAATAAATAATTCAAATAGATTCTAATGAATAATTCAATAAATTAAATGAAGCCTTTATTAATTTTGTTATAAAATAACTATTAGAATTTCAAATTACATATAAACAAAGCATTTTGTAGCATCACATTGGCTATATCCGACACAATAGTTTTAAATACTCAAAATAGATGCTGCATGATGTATATATTTTATCCATATTATGAAGCACACGATGCACATAACGTATGATATTTTACCCTTGTTCTTACTGAATGTTAAACAAGAATAAAATAATACATCATGCCCAATTGTGCTTTACAGAATCAAAGGCAAAATACAAGGTAAGATTCCTAATTAAAAAAAAAAAAAAAAAAGAATCGTCTTTTAACATTGACATATAAATGCTTATATGCACACTACAGCATTGCTGTAATATTGCTAAAATATTCCATGTTACTCAAGTCCAAAAGACTACCTATACATTTATATTCAATAATTGTACGAATGTCAATGATCCTTTTATCAAATTAGAAATTTCAAGCATTTCTATTTCAAAACTGTTGTATCAACCTTGTCATTTTCGCGAATCCTAATATTATTCACAGAATAAATAGAATATTTATGGCTGGTAAGAATACTTAAGTTGGAATCAGACTATGCAGTGAAAATTGAAATTGAAGATTAAAGATTAAAATTTCATCAATAAGGACAAAGAAATTTTGGCTCCTTTTGTTCTGATTAATCAAACTTCAATCTTTCAATCTTCAATCTCATTCTTCAATACGTAGTCTGATTCCAGCCTAAGTGTGGTTGGCGCACTAGTATATATTAAAGTCATTGTACACTGATTTAATCTGTGTAAAAGTAAGATGCAAATATTTGGAATTATAAAATACAGATTTTATTTAACAGCACAATAAAATATTGAGAATTTCTTGGTACTATAACCCATTTTTATATTTATATTAAACACACATTTTTACATTAATTTGCGATGGCTTTAATGTGCACTAGTGCACACTGACTGTGTAGTGAGTGCAATCGAAGTCGTTATCAGTTATAAATATTATCATTTATACAAAAGGACAAAGCATGGTATATATTCGACGTACTCAAAGCTAATTAGTTACAGAGTCCAAGTGTCGCAAGAGCGATATATAAATAGAGAATGTTCGTAAAGGAACTTCCTGGTTCTATCCGTCCATATGACGCAATTACAAATCAGATTACAGGAAAACGCGTCCATGGTGTTTTTTCTTGTAAAAGGGACAACTCACTCCTTTGTACTCTCCGGTGTTTCTGTATCGTCAGTCGCAGAGTCTGGAACAACGTCAATCGGTTGATCAGACGACGCCATGGCCGTATTCCTTAATAAACGAGACAGGCAGACCGACGTTGGTATGCACCGTAAAAACAGGCGATATTTTCCCTGCTCCGGATTCCACTGTCGAGGAGTAGAAAAGATTCACGAATGATTATGACCAGCGATACGCATTAACGCACCGCGTTGAAGTAACCCAAAGACGCGGATCAACGTGCTTCTCCTTGCTCCTCCTTTCTTTAGGTTTGTTCTTTTTCCATCCCAAGTTCCGAACCGGTGTACACTGGTGCAATAATGCTGGACTCACGCTGCATCCGATGTGCGTCGTACGGCGCAAATCGAATGCAAGGTGAATCCAGCATCAGAAAACAGGATTCCGATGGATTTTGCTTCGTATCATCGGAATCCTGTTTTCTGATGCTGGATTCACCTTGCATCCGATTTGCGTCGTACAACGCTCTGCAACCAATCAGAAAACAGGATTCCGATGGATTTTGCTTCGTATCATCGGAATCCTGTTTTCTGATGCTGGATTCACCTTGCATCCGATTTGCGTCGTACAACGCTCTGCAACCAATCAGAAAACAGGATTCCGATGGATTTTGCTTCGTATCATCGGAATCCTGTTTTCTGATTGGTTGCAGAGCGTTGTACGACGCAAATCGGATGCAGGATGAATCCAGCATTATCAACGCGCTCGCGGTCGGTCCGATTCATTGGGTGCATTCAGTACTACAACCGATCACTGAGCGCTCAGTGAGCTCTTATATCTAATTGGTGTATATTTTTAGATCTAATGGAATATGCCAATCAAATGCAAGAGCTCACTGAGCGCTCAGTGAGCGGTTGTAGTACTGAATGCACCCAATGGACACATTCAGCGGACTCAATAGTTGAGTGAGCGCTCGCTGTTATTGGTGTATTCTTTTAGCTCATCCAATCAGAATTTTAGATTTAGAAGAATACACCAATAACAGTGAGCGCTCACTCAACTGTTGAGTCCGCTGAATGCGCCCATTCTCTGCACGTTTTGTATGAGCAAAATGACGTCATGGATTTTTGAATTCGCATGCTCACGGTGACCATAGGCCTGTTCTTTTTGGCTGAACTTTTGCACCAGTTCACCTTTCTTCCTCTTCTTTCCTCCTGGAGAGAAAAGGAAGAAACTGGTTGGCAAAAGTTCAGCCAAAAAAAAACAGGCCTCATGATCCGGAGATGGGTCGGCGTGAGTATTTACTTTATTTGCCCGGGAGAAGAGGACTAATATGAATTATGAATGTGGAACAGATGTATTCAGGTAGTATAATCGCTTACTAAAAATAATTAAATGTAACTGATAATAATATAATAATAATAATTAATAATATTAATTGTTTCAATAATTAAATATGATTGATTGGATCGAGATTATAACATTAATTGGTTATAACATTTATGGGATTTAAATTTTCATCCTCATTCTCTGAATCCTCGAATACAATTTTCATCAAATGCAACATTGAATATGATCCATTATTGATAGTAAACAGGTTATGGGCCTCGTGATTGTATCCACACCAACAGGCGGTCCGAAATAAAATCGTCGATAGCACGATAACGAATCGGACCGACCATTAACATCGTGAGATTTGGGAGCACCGTGGGAGTAAATCGGACCGCAATCTACATAAAGCGAATCAGACCCCCCCCTCCCATCCAAGAATATGAAACGCCATTATTAAAAAACAAAGAAAGAAAAAAAAAGTTATTATAATTATACTGATAATCTTCTTATTTTCTGGGGAAGGCTCCGATTGCACACATTGCATGTTGTACACATGCGTCGCTAATTGGCTAATTTAAAAATAAAATATTCTCATTCATGATAAAAATACAAGGGTATGTGCTCATCAATTGTCTAAAACTCGTTCAGCTTGCGCATGTCCTTGCTTACGTCATATTCGGGTACGCGTTGATTGGTCGGTTCTGATTCGGGTGCAATCGGTGGTTATCGGTCGTAATTTATCATGGCGTCCATGGCGTAGTGCACGTTGTCATCGGTAGAAGTTAATGTTAAAAATATTTTCACGATGACCTGCATAGTGAAAGGATGCGGCAATTATATGAAAAAAACAAAAAAAACTGAGGGAAGTAAAATTAAATATTTTACCTTTCCAAAACAATCTGAAATTGCTGAACAGTGGCGTAAGCCACTCGTTGTGACGTAAGCAAGGACAAAAATCTGATTGGTCATGCGCATGAGCATACCCTTGTCTTTTTATCATGTTCTCATTGGTAAAGCAATGAAAAATTACTAGGCACCAGCTGATATGAGTGGTGTGTGCAATCGGGATTGTAGGCAAACGGGATCCTCCCATTTTTTAACTATTATTAGATGATTTATGTCGTTATATACCAGTTAGATTGTTTGTGTTCACCTTTGTTTGAGGTCAAGAATCACAAAAATAAGAAGGTTAATGGCCTATCACTAGACGTTGACCGAATAAATTTCTGGATACTAACAAGAGCTAGTTTTCCATCCATATTGAGGAAATTTTAGAGGAAGAAGATTAGAGGCTCTCTGAAAAAACTGCGCTAAACACGCTCGAGAAAAGTTAAAAACAAGCTAAAATTCTATTGCGAGTTCTTCAATAGAATCGTATCCTACTGATCCAATTTCTATCTTAATTTCCTATACATCGATATATAATTCCAAAGATGAATCATACGACTAAAGACGAGCGTTATGAAGTTGAATATTTGGAAACGCCCGTTATATCAGAGAATGACGATCTAAAATATAGGTAAGAAGAAAGCAAATAGCAACAAGCTCGATTTCGATCGGAATAAGCATGGAAAATACTAATTAATATGATGGTAATTTTGAAAAAAACGTTATAAATTAAATTAATTTTTTACAAGGACGAATTAGATTGTTCTTGTGATCAGTATTATCATTGATTTCTGATTTCATTATTTTTGTTTTCCAAATTTAGAGTTATCAGATTACCAAATGGTTTAACAGCTTTGCTGATATCTAGTAGAGAGGAAAGAAATGATACAAGCAAAGATGGTTGCAAAAAAGATGAATGCAACAAAGAAGATAATTCCTCAGTTGAACAAATTGACATAGATAACTGGCAGGTACAAATAAGAGCTGGTTCAGCTTGTATTTTAGAATTATATTTTTTATGCTAATTTTTTTTTAATTATCTTTTATATATAATCTGTCATTAAAAATTCATTGGAATTATGTCATAGAGATGGACCTACATAAAATCATAAGAAGTATTTATCTCCTCAAAATCTGAAGTCAATAAAAAAAAGCAACAACATAAGTAATAGAACGAAACCAATAAACCAAATTATGATTTTGCATTTGTTGCTGCTATCTTATTATGTTCTCTATTATTATATATATATTTTACATTTTTCTGTGCCATTGACTTAGAATATTATCAGTTTCATCAAGAGTTTCTGTTTGAAAAATTTGGTCTCCTATCTGCGGGAGTTTTCATAGATTTATTTTTAGATTTATTTTTGTTTATAAATTTAGAACTTAACTGAAATGATTAAGACTATCAACTTTACAGAAAAACTGCAAGAGACAAAAATTATTTATTTTCTTCTCATAAAGTTCTGAGAATTTTTTCAGAATTTTTTCAGAATTTTTTAATACCGTATTTTCTCATGTTGGTAAAAATAAGAAAATGCAGCACTAAAAAGTTGATGAAAAATTCTGAAAAAATTCTCAAAACTTTATGAGAAGAAAATAAATAATTTTTGTCTCTTGCAGTTTTTCTGTAAAGTTGATAGTATTTGAGTAAAAAATTATTCAAGACCAATATTTTGCAATTTTTAGTAATTTATATCTTGTTAACTATTGCGAAAATTGCAAAATGGTAGAGGACTTTTTGACTCAGTTTAGTCCGCTCTATCTACACAAAAGTGATTGGCAAAAAAGGTCGGGACACCCTGTATATATGTGTGTATGTATATATGTGTGTGTATATATATATATATATATATGTTTTTTTATATGTAGGCAGAATGCAGCTTGTGTATAGGAGTAGGCAGTTTCAGCGATCTACCAGAAATTCCAGGCATAGCACATTTCCTTGAGCATATGGTTTACATGGGATCCGAAAAATATCCTCAAGTATCAAAATATAATACATGAATATATTATAACATTTATTTATTTACATATGTAAATGTGTACTATCTTAATTGCAGTACGATTTTCATGAATTTATTAGTAAACATGGTGGATATACTTTTGCTTTAACAGAACACGAGCATACAAAATTTATCTTTAGTATCCAAGACAAACACCTGTTACCAGCTCTCGATCGTTTTGCTCAATTTTTTATTAAACCCCTGATGAAGAAAGATGCCATCATACAGGAGCGAAAGGCCATAGAAAGCGGTACATAAACCACAATTGTAATATTGTTGTAATCTGTAACTTGCAATCTTGATATTCCATGCTCTTTAGAGTTTCAATTGGCTTTACCCAATGACGATATCAGAAAGGCACAACTGATGGCCTCTTTAGCGCGAATTGGTCATCCAGTCAACAAATTTACTTGTGGCAATTTAATAACATTGCGTGACAATGTGGATGATGACAAATTGTATGAAGAGCTGCACAAGTTTAGAAAGCGCCATTATAGCGCTCATAGAATGAAGCTAGCTATACAGGTAAAGGCCATTTTACATTGGTTGTATTGTAGACGTCGCAAGTCACAAGCTTGTTGCTTCAGCCAATCCGATGTTTCAATTTTAAAGTCGCATGATGCTTATGACGTTTTCGACGCTACGATACGACCAATGTAGAATGGTCTTAATAACTTCGTTAAAATTGCGCAGAAAAATCGTTGATTATTTGTTATAAATAATTTATAACATGATACAATTTTTTGTAGGCGACGTTACCATTGGATACATTAGAAAACTATGTCACAAAGTGCTTTGCTGATGTACCAAATAACGGGCTGCCTCCTGATAACTTTACCGCATTTAAAGACGGTGTTTCTTTCGATACTCCTACTTTCCGAAAAATGTATAAAGTTAAGCCTTTCAATGATACAAATCAAGTATGTGTGACTTGAACACAAATCCAAAATATGCCATCTTTATACTGAATAAATACATAAAATAAAAATTGTTTTTTACAGCTACAAATAACATGGGCTATGCCTTCAGTACTTGATTTTTGTAGAAGTAAACCATGTGAATATATCGCGTGGATTATTGAACATAAAGGAAAAGGTTCTTTAATTAGTTATCTGCACAAAAAAATGTGGGGATTTAATTTATTTAGTTGTAGTCATGAAAGTGATTTTGAAAACAATTCTATGTACGCCTTATTCAAGATTATTGTAGTGCTTTCCCGTGAAGGACAACAGCACTTGGAGGAAATTTTAAATGCATTATTTTCTTTTATCAATTTATTAAAGAAGGAGGGTCCGCAGAAAAGAATTTATGACGAGATTTGTACGATTGAAGAAAATGATTTTAGGTAAATCAATTTTAAGAATAAACGTATGCAAAAGAGAAAAACTGACAAAATATATGTAAGACTTATACTTGGAGGTTTTTTTAGATTTTTAGGTCTGACGGATAATGTAGAGGATTTGTGTAAGACGATGCATTTCTATGTACCACACGATTATATAACTGGGAACGGTAATCTTTATTTTGAGTATAACCCAGAAGCTATACAAAAATGTTTAAATTATATGTTGCCAGAGACCGCGAATATCATGATTTTCAACAAAGATTTTGACTGTCCCGAATTAAATAAAGTCGAGCCGTGGTTTAAGACCAAATATACAGACATTGAGATACCAGAGAAATGGATCGAACGTTGGAAATCTATCGAGCCATTGCCAGATTTTAATTTACCACTACCAAATACATTCATTACCAGTGACTTCTCTTTAATATCGATGCCAGCAGAGATGCCAAAATATCCTATACAATTACACAAGGATGATATATCGGAGATTTGGTATGGCCCATTTGATTTGCCAAGATGTTCTATGAATTTCCATTTTGTTTCCTCTCTGGAACGACAGTCACTGAAGAAGTAAGTAATAACATAGAAAATATAATACTACATTATTAGAATTAGTACTACTACGGTACTACTAATTCTATATACTAATTTCTAACTTGTAAATATATAATAATTTTTATATAATCGTTTGTATCTTATTAAAAAATATTCTTATTAATGATATTACAGTGTAGCTCTCATGAAAATGTACTGCAATGTATTAAAAATGCTATTGATCGAAGACTTGTATCCAGCTTTAGCAGCTGGATTCACTTATGATATTTTTGTCGATGAGGAAGGTATCATAATAAAATTAGATGGGTTTAATGAAAAACTACCTGTAAATATACATTTAAATCATATATATAGTTACAAATATAATTTCGATATATACATGTATATTTTTCTTCTATTACAGCTCTTATTAATGACTATTGTAAGATACATGGTGGACTATCCAACCCTTGTTACAAAGGATTTATTTGAAATTGCCAAAGTACAAAAACTTGAAATATTGTACAACAAATTTAGAGAACCTGATAAACTTGTCAAGTACTGATTATTTATTATCAAACATAATTGTAACGATTATAAGATTCTTGCATAACTATAACAATTAATGATATTAATTGTAAAATAAATTACATTAAGCTATATTTCTGTCGATTAATCAGTAACGTATATATCTTTATTAGGGATGGGCGATGTTTCATCGATTATACAAAAAATCGATGAAACATTGATTTCATCGATTTTTTGTATAATCAATGAAACATCGCCCATCCCTAACTTTATTCCTTTTTACAGGGAAGTGAAATTACAGAAACTTAATGTCTCCCATTATACAAACGTAGACATGTACACTACTCTATGTGATGTTAATTTTGAAGAATTCCAAGACTTCGTAAAATCCTTCACCAATCATTTGTTCATTCAGTGCCTCGTGCAAGGCAACATGACACAAGACGCTGTAATTGAAACTGTACGACAATGTATCGAATTAATCAATTGCGATCCTTTGCCCTCTAGTACGTCGTCGCAGATGAAAGTCACTCAGATACCTTTGGGTACATATTACTGCAAGTTAAAAAATATCAATAATAGTGATATAAATTCTGTAGTAACGAATTATTATCAAGCCAGTGACACGTCGATGGAGTTATCAATGTTAATCGAACTGCTGGTTGTAAGTATAACATCATTTTGTATATTTTACGTGGAATTCTTGGATTATGTTTATTTTTATTTATATAAATAAATGAAATATAAATAACAGTTTTGATTATTGTGATTGATTTTGTCCTCACATCACATTCTTTCGTACTGTGCTTACAGATGATAATGAAAGGACCTTTATGCATTCAACTACGAATTCAAGAACAGCTGGGTTATAATGTCTTGTGTGATTTTGTAGATTTCAATTTAGGGTATTCTATTTCTGTTCACACTCAAGCAGATAAACACACAACCGAACATGTGGACCAGCGAATCGAAGAATTTCTGAAATCGTTTAATAAGATTTTGGAAGAATTCTCAGAAGAGAAATTGGATGATGTAAAGGAAGCGCTAATAACATTGAAGCGATCTGCCAATTTCGTGTCTGTGAAAGAAATAGTTGAGAGAAACTGGAATGAGATCATAAGCTACAAATACATGTTTGACAGATTTGAGAAGGAAACGCTTGCAATAAAGAACATAAAAATCACTGAACTAAGAGAATGGTTTGCAAAGCACACACTGAACGGAAGTAATTTTAGAAAATTGAGCGTACATGTGATAGGAACTGATCCAAAGGAAATTACGGTCAAGAAAGCAAATAGTGAGTAAATAATTAGTTTATATCTATTTGTTATCTAACTTTGTTTTGTCAGATTATGCTTAAAGTTGCTAAATTAAGGCTCCTGAATAGTCGCGGCGGTCGTGTTGGAATCGTGTCGTCATAGGCGAAAAATGCACGTTAATTTATGCTGCATGCCATTTGTAAATAAGTCCGCATCTACAATAGATGTTTTAAACCTTAAGCCGTAAGAAATTGACCAATTACAGTCGAATCCGAGAAGAATAAGCGACTGTGATTCGCCCATTTCTTATGGCTTAAGGCTTAAAACTCTATTGTAGATCCAGACTAAAGACAATTTGGATAAATCTAAATTACGAGATCGCTTTAAAACACTTGTAAAAATGGGCAGAAACTGCCCTTTTCTCCCTTAATAGTAAGTAAAAGGCAGATAAAGTGAGCCTAAATTCGGGCAGAAACACACGGTTTACAGCTGTTGAAACGAGTAAAATTACGCTTTTACGTATAAAATTCCAAGATGAGTGAAGTTTCTGCCCATTTTTAGGACTTTAGGATTTTAAGTACGAGGCAAGTCACATTTTCATAATTAAATAAATAATAACGAAATGGCACGCAGCACTAATTTCGACAATTTCGTCGTCAAAACGTTACTTTTCCACGTTTATAAGTTCAGCCATTTATTGTGGCCAGGCACTGTAAGGGGCTCCGTACAATAAAAGGAACAGGGAACAGAGAATAAGAATTTCAACCTATCAGAAACTGTGTATTCCACAATACATGATTTCTGATAGGTTGAAATTTTTATTCTCTGATTCCTGTTTCTTTTATTGTGCGGAGCCCCTAACTGTTTTACACGCCTACCGACAGTTGTCGTAGCGCAGCTTTTTCACCATATAAAATATCTGCGCAACGACACCGACAACTGTAGGTAGGCGTGTAAAGACAGTTAAGCTGGAAACACAATAGACACAGGCAATAGGCACAGGCAACAGGGAATAACGAGTCGTCCAATCAGAGCTTTGGGGTATAAGTTCGATATTATATCCCAGAGCTCTGATTGGACGGCTCGTTATTCCCTGTTGCCTGTGCCTATTGCCTGTGTCTATTGTGTTTCCAGCTTTACGAATCGCGTTCCAGGCCGCCGCCTGATTCTGTGTCACCGGCTGAGTATTCAGGAGCTTTAAAATTAAAATATTTGTTGTAGATACTGCAGAGAATTGCAAGAAAATGAATTTTTCTTTAGAATATATAATTGATGATCTGCAGCATAAGAAAATTGAAGATGATGTTACGAACGAAGAAGATTATAAGAACAAAGTAAGTATAGTAACTAGACGAACATAAATGTAGTTAGTAATAATATAGGAGTACCCATTAGGATATCGTTTAATTATTTGTCAGTTTAATCTTTGATACTATTATCCCAATTTCAATTAGGGATTATTTTTCAAGAATTGATCGAAAATCGAATCAGCGCGCAGTTTATAAAACTATATATATATATATAAATTCACATTAAAATATTATCAAATATAAAGATCCTTTTAATCCGAATAAGGCATTTTTCTATCTAGTCCTATTTATACTTAATATTTTTTATCTGAAAAAAATGTTGCGCTACTTTTTGTTTATTTAATTTTTAAATTAATTCTTTCTATATATATATTTTCCAGCTGTTATTTGAAACTGTACCTCCTGCCTCTGTAGAGAATATGGTAGTACCTGCTTCCAAATTGTCTGCGGAAGAAGGAAAAATGTTAGTTCCTTCTCAGCATACAGAATCGGACATAGAATTGGAATCATTACATTTGTAAGAAATACTTCATGATTTTTCAATGTTAATTTTTTCTTAATTTTTTAATATCCCTTCATTTTATTTTCTTTTCTCTTAATATTAAGGGGTTAGACCGGTATGACCAACCGTAAAAATAGGTAATTTTTAAACGTGGATTGCCGAAGAAATAAAAAAGCTGCATACTTGTGTTTTGGTACCTTATTCAAGTACACGTTGAAGGTATAAAATATGCAAAATGAAAGGAAAAATAATAATCTTAACACCATTTATTAAAATGTCATGAAAAATCAATTTTTTTCGCATTAGTCGAATCGTATCATCGTATGAAACAAAAGAAAAATATCACTGAAGTGTACTGTATTCCCCAAGTATTGACCGAGCTTATTCAAAATTTATTAAAATTTGACTGAAAAAAAAATTTTTTAACTTTTGGTTTGATTTTTGGCATAAATATTGTTAATTAATTTATTAGTATCTTACAAAATAATAATGATACTGTAAAAATCCTCGGTCAATGCTTAGAGAATACTATAAGGATAATCAAAATTCAAGTCAATCCGATGAATGCATCCTGAAAAACCTTTTTGAACATCGTTTTGAAAAACAAGGTTTCAAGAAAAACGCATTTAAAGTTCTACAACATAATCTTTATATCATATAGTGCAAATTTTGTAGGCTTTGTAACTCAGAAACTAACTCGAATTTATACTTAAGACCTTTCGTTTCATATTCTACAGGTTTCAAACTACTTTTTGAAGCAAAAAAATTTTTTTTCGATTTAAAAAAAATTTTACACCAGTCTAATCCCTTAAATGATATTATTTCAGCTCCGTTGAGCATAGGCAAGATCAGAAAAGAACACAAAGTAACATTGATGAAAACTTCGAAGATCCAGAAATTCCATTAAAAAGGCAGCGATGTATTTCAAAAACGACACATATTTCAGAATCTTCTGACATGTATTTTGAATTTTTCTTTTATTGTTAAGTAGAAAAGCTAGACATAATAATATTTTAAATGTACAGGGTGTTACAGATACATACTAGGCAGTACGACGGGTTGCGCGGCAAACTTTGCATGGCCAAGCATGGTTTAATAGACAATGACAGTGACTTTATACATTATAAAGTTTACACTACAAAGTTTTATTATTTATATTATAAAGTTTATGTCATAAAGTCACTGTCATTGTCTATTAAACCACGCTTGGCCATGCAAAGTTTGCCGCGCAACCCGTCGTACTGCCTAGTATGTATCTGTAATACCCTGTATATTCGATAAATGATTTCGTAAATGGATATTTAAACATGAAAATCACATTAATCAAAATTTTAAAGAAAGGATAGAATTTATATTTTGTTGTATCCTAATAATCGCATAATTCTTTCTTCTTGTAAAAGAACAATACATTGTAAAAGAACAAAACAATATAAATTCTATCCTTCCTTTAAAATTTTATTAACTTAGCATATTGTTATCTCAAATATACCAAAGAATCGATTGATTGTTATTAATAAGATAAAATTGTTGTTACTATCAGTTCTATCGAAACTTCGCAATCTGCATTGACAAGTAACGAGATTTGGAATTTATTAGAAGTTTTGTGGCGTGACGAGCCGCGCGTCCAGTTCAGTCAACTTATTCCAGAGGACACATACACGAAGAGCGATGCTACTATCGCTTTCGAAATACTTCTTGGTAAGTGTTGCGACGTGTTTTCCATTATTTAAAAAAAAATACTGGCGAATTTTATGTTTTCATATCTTATTATATCACTGAATTTTTTCTTATTGTATCAATCTAACATTACACAATTCATTTATAGAATTTCATGCACAGAAGAAAATCATTTTGCAGCAGATTGACAATGAGCGCTTTAAGACTCTATGGATTTCAAAGTACAAGGAAAATTAAACTGAGATATAAGTGATCAGATATATATATATATATACATATATATTAACTACTTGCTAATATAGGTATTGATATTAACTGTAATAATTTCCATCATGGAATTTATTTTTATTATTTCTAATAAATAGTTATATTTTTCTTTGTGTTTGATTTACGCATAAAATAGCCACGGCAGTGTCGCTGCGCGTAGCTTAGCGCCGAGACATCTCTTTTTGTTACTAGCTCTGCAACCTGACTGGTTGGTCTGCAACCTGAGCCTTTGAGTGTCCGCCTTGTTTATATATGTCTGCTTGCATGGAAATCGATTATGATGTATTAAGCCTTGTGTCCACGACCTAGAAATCGGTCCGAGACCTTGGATGAAGAAAGAATTGACCTATCGCAATGGTCATGTGATCAAATTGTTCAAATTTGATTTGTTAATTTTTTCTCTGTCCGAGATCTCGGATTGATTTCTAGTATCGTGGACATCGGGCTTTAAAAGTAAGAGAAGCCGTTTTCCCAGACCGGGCGCCTGCTGCCGCCCAGCGGTAGTCGCGCGTCATGGGAGAGGGAGGATTATCAAAAGATTAAAGATACAATTTCATGCAGTGAAGCTTCGCTGGCGAAGATTGGTAATAATCCAGAATTTTTCAAATTCTTATCTTCTATCGCGTGAATTGAGCCGTGTACATAATGTACTTATGATTGGGGACCATTTAAATGTATATGTATGTATCTTGAAACTTTGCTTGTAACAAGATAAAAATTACAAAAGTGAACAAATTGACTAGGCTATTTATAATTTCATTAGTCAACATCTAGCGAATTTTACTTATTTTTGTAATTTTCAAGATACGCAATCGACCTCTTTGAGCCTACACGTGAAGTTGCATTCGTATTGTGACATAGAAGCACGTTTGCGATCTATAACATTTGCGCATCGCGACCGTTGGTTATTGGGTTTATACATTTAGATCCATATAAGGAACCAAAAGCAAGGACCAATCGTATTCAAGAAGTTTACGACAGTTGCAAAGCTGCTTTTTCTACTGAACGCAACTGAACGTAGTTAATAATCGATAACAGGCGCCATGAATCGACGCCTCACCTGCTTTACCGATCAGGCAGACGACAGGTGTGACGTCACGCGTCGACCGTCCCGCGATGCGTATCGGGAAACACGGGAAACCTGCCATCTTGAATGGCATGGCTCGTCTACATAGTGCGTGATGAAGGAGAGATGCGAGCTTTAGTGCGGACGTTTCGCTGGTATTACGCTACGTCGGGATCCGCGTGAGACTTAACGACGACCGTGACGCGAGGAGGCTCTTCCCCTGCCCCACGCGATGGAGGCGGTGAAGGCGTTTAACGCGGAGGTAAGTAACACCCCGAGGTCCCTCCGCTTGTACGCGCACGTCTTAGAGGTCACCGTCGTAGGGGCAGCTCTCCCTCTCTACGCTGCTCGCATTCAACTTTGCTCTTTCTACCTCGTATCTCATTCGGAATCTCATGAGAAAATCACAAGAACCTTTGCGATAAAAGAAAAAAAAATGATGCGTCGTCCCCCCCGAATCTTCCCCTTGGCTATAGTCAGTGTTGCTCTCCGATCTTGACGAAAGAGTATCCTTGCCGAAGACGCAACTCGTTCGAGACTCTTTGGAAAATCACGATCACGATGAAGGTTCCATGGTTTCCCCATCACTGGGACCTAGTGTGACTTGTTTTTGAAGGCCACTTGTCGATTTCGACTGAATCAGTGATCGCATTTTGTTGGGCGAATAGCTAGTTGTATTTCTGAATTATGGGATGATAAAACAAGCATGCACACATGTGATGTTGTGGTCTGTACTACGTCATTAATCTTCCCAGGCAACAAGCATCGTCCAAAAGATCTTTTTTTGTTTTGGATATCTTGTAGATATATATCCTCCAAAAGTTGTTTTTCTGTTGTCTTTACGACGTCTTTTGGACATGCATGTTGTCTGGGTTGTATTCGCTAAATGCTAAAAATTACTTCGAGATCTCGGTTAGAAATAGAATTAACAAGTCACGTTTGTATTATTTAGCATCTTGAATGGTTTACCAGTTGATTGTGTATCTTGAAATAAGGTGAAAATTGCAAAAGTGTACAAATTCATTAGATATTGACCAATTAAATTATGAATATTCTAGTGAATTTGCATACTTTTGTAATTTTCACCTTGTTTCGAGATACACAATCATCCCCCTAGATATAATGATTCACTTGGTGCATTCAGAAAGAGACACTACTAGAGTGCATTCAGGAAGCTCATTCCAGCGCTATCGAATCGTTCTGTCTTTGTTTTTCGTCTAATAAGCAACAAGGATAGAGTGATGCGGTAGTGCTGGTAGTAAATTCCCCAAACGTACCTCTAGTACTGCTTGTATCATTCTATCCTTGTTTTATGTAATAATAATTAACAAAGATAGAATGACACAAATAACGCTAATAACGTCTCTTCGAACGCATCCACTGTATTACACCGTGTCCTTTGTATCTCTTTCTGAAAACACTCTTTGGCCGATATTCGTAGTCGATTCTTGTATTTAAGACTGTCTTAAGTACAATCTTGAGATGTCATGCACTAATAGAGCCGTATTAGCATCTCAAAACATTACTTGAGGGTCTTGAAATAAGAGGTCTGTTTTTCGTGGCTAAACTAGTGTACACTTTGGAACTTAATGTGAGATAGATATACGTTTGATATTTGTAAAGCAAGAAAAAGAGTTCTAAAACAGTCTAGTGCAGGAACAGAAAACAAACCAAAGAACGAAGTATGATTGCCAGCCTTATGATACTTATACTATTGAGGGTCAATCATGTAACTTTTTGTTTAAAGCAAAAAGAAGCATGAAGAGTACAATTTTTTATGTATGTATGTATATATATATATACACACATAAATGCAATTTTTATATTATTTCACATTTTGTTTTACATTTCCGCTCTAGGAACAAAATTACATGATTGATTGTATTTGAAACGCTGCAGCTTTTGGCAGTGTAAGATAGAGATATGTTGATATTTACCTTCTATTGAAATATACATTAGTCCATACTCACTTTTTGTTGCAATAAATGCATGCATATAGTTTATGTTACGTATACTATAGAACTTTAGAAATAAATACACGTAAAAGATAATTTACATAGATAATACATTTTAATTCTTACTAGTAGAACTCCGTTTATCCAAACATACCTATTAGGGCTTGATTTCACAATATATGGTTACCTAAAAATTATAGATAACTAAGAAATTTATGAATAAATTTCATTGATGAATTTTTTGGTAACCTTTAATCTTTAGGTAACCATATATTGTGAAAACAAATCTAAGGGACAATACAATATTGAGGACAATAGTTTTGTGAATTATTCATATATTAGAATTTCATGGACTCTTCTTTTTATCAGTTCTGACAATAGGAGTTGATCTTCAAAAACCTGGGATAAAAGGAGGAGCTCGACATGCTTCTTCTTTTATCCCAGTTTTTGAAGGTTATGCAAGCAGCGTTACAGTTCAAATAACAGATGCTCAGACATAGATCTGTTTTTTTTTTATAAACTGAATTAATGTATATTTTTGGAACTTAAAGTGATATTTGATACTTGGCAAAAGCAAAAAGAAAAGTTCTAGTGCAGAAATAAAAAAAACAGGTCGTATAAGTTCGGATATTTGAAACCAGGCGCTAACTTGTATTGTATATAAATGTGTGCGGATGAAGGAATTCTACTGTATATTGCTTCTTCAGAAGACATAATTAATCAAGATTTAATTTTGCAGCTCTCTGCTCTTTACGATGTCAAACCCCCAATCTCGAAAGCCAAAATGAATTCGCTTACACGGGGAGCCATCAAAGCAATAAAATTCTACAAGCATGTTGTACAAAGCGTGGAAAAATTTATTCAAAAAGTAAATATCTATTTAAATTTTCTCTTAACCATATATATGTATGTGTATTTTGTAATTTATTTTATTTTGTTTTAGTGCAAGCCGGAGTACAAAGTACCAGGGTTGTATGTAATAGATTCAATTGTTCGACAGTCCCGACATCAGTTTGGGATGGAAAAAGATGTGTTCGCTCCACGATTTGCAAAAAATATGCAGACTACCTTTCTTAATCTTTTAAAGTGCCCACAAGAAGATAAGAGCAAAGTTATACGTGTATTAAATCTTTGGCAAAAGAATGCAGTTTTTCCACCAGAAGTTATTCAACCACTTTTCGATCTGGCAGACCCGAATCATCCGATACATAAGGAACAGCCAGTAAATAGCAATGGTAAATATAAAAAATACAATTACAAATGTATGTGAAATTAATAAATAATATAAATATAGGCATTGTGTCTAATTCAGATTGGACGCAACAAGCGTCAGGCAGCTGAACAGCAACTAATCAATGAGGCAATATTTATGGAGGCGTAAAAAATATCGCCTCGCTAGTTGATTGTTGCTCCGCTGCTTAACGCTTGCTGCACTAGGCTAGCTAAAACTTGGACTACAATATGTATACATATACATGAAAAATAATATTTTAATACTGATAGGTACATTAAATGCATCATCTGGAAGTAATCTGAGTAATGTAAGTGCAGTCACAAAAACTCCGCCATCTACAATTAAAAACGCTGCGAAGGATCCCAAACTATTTCCATCCGGAAAAACGATTGATCCAGTATGGCTTGCACAAACAAAAATGGAAGCAGCAGTCAACGCAAACAAACTTTTGGTAATATTGTCACATATATTTATACATTGTACACATATGTCTTAAAGTTTTATTCAATCTTGTTGTTTTCCATACAGAATCAGTCCAACTCCGGTCAAGTGGATTCCTCTTTTTTCGATCAATTACAACATTTACAGCAATTACTTATGAAAAAGGACGTTACAAATGAACCAAAGAGTTCTGTCAAGTTTGATAAAAAGCTGTTAGAGTATGATTACGGAGAAGAAGAAGATGACGACGTTGTTGTTACTAATTCTCCAAGCA